AGGTTATCTAACTACCTAATTTAATTATTTATAACTAACTGCTTACCCTTAAAATATATCTATCATACATTAAAGCGAGTTATTGCCTTTCATTAAACCTTATCATAGTACAAGATAAAACACAAAAATGTAAAATTTCATATAAAACTTATTATTCATATATAGCGAGACCTGAAATAATACAAATCAACTTAGTATCACCTCTGGTGCTTTAGTGGCTTATTGAAACCTTAAAGTATATTAAGTGGGTTACAACCCCTGGAACTCTACATGAAGCTACGACACTAACTGCATCAGACAGAGCCCAACTAACTTTCAAAACATGTCAACTGTGCCCACATCAGGTCTTTCAGTTTTGTTTTGATCAGCAGGTCTCTCTGTAGGCAAGGAGCAGTGGTCACAGCAGCCAGTCTTTTGTTATAAATCATTCTGATTATGATTTTACTTCTCATTTTAACCTGTCCTGCTTGACATAAAATCTACCTCTTATTTACTAAACCTCCAGATTGAGCAAGTATGTGACAAAATGAGACATTAAAAAATCAGTATGAAACTATTAGTAAAACGTAAATAAAATGTCACTTATCTTTCTTCAAATATGCCGAACTATTATAAGTGTAAAATATGTAATGATATTTGATAAATTTCATAAAGTGTATTTTATTCTCAAACTTATTAATAATTAATGTTAACTAAGCTATGTTTATTGATAATGTAGCCTACTTACGGATATATTTTATTTTTTGGATGGTATTACAAAAGTGGAGTTCAGGCATAGATAATATTTTTAATTGAATTTATAAATTTGCTATTTGCTTATAGGTCCTTAATTTTTTCATTAATGGTCCTTAAAAGTCCTTAAAAGTACTTAATTTCCATGTGCGGAAATGTGTACGAACCCTGATAATCACACACACACACAACTGAACCCAAGGTCAAGAAAGCAGATTTCAGGGCACTGCAGGCTGTGGCCCACTACGGCTGTTGCACCACTGAGTTTAGTTTCTATTTAGGTTTGAATTTTAATATATTTTGGGAATCCCTTATGTGAGCTCAAAAGTAATAGTATGTTTAATTTTATTCCATTTGTTATATAATTACACTGCTGGTCATTAAAATTGCAACACAGTGAAGGAAAGCAATTACAAAAAAAGATATTTATTGCACATAAGATATTTATTGCACATATAGCATGAAGACAAAATAATTAAATTTATAAGTATTTTGAAGGTTTACAGGGGTGCGAAATTAGGAGAAACAGCTGCCAGGTTGTGACCATTATCCCATCAGTCATGGAGTCAAACTGGACTTGGATTACAGAAACAGGTAATTCATTCCATGCTGCTTCAAGTCTATGCCACACTTCAACCTTATTAGCTGGAGAAGGGTGGCAGAACAGTCTTTGAACAGCCCATTACCAGATATTTTCAATGGGTGACAGATCTGGAGACCATACAGGCTAGGGCAGCAATCGAATACCCTGTGTATTGAGAAAGGTCAGAACACGATGTGCAACATGTCATCTTACATAATCTTGCTGGAACATGGCATTTGGGGGCCTCAGAGATTGGGTGCAACCACTGGACGTAAGTTGTCAGAAATTTATCCATCTGTTCATATTACCATCTATCCGAACTAGAGATGTGTGTGTCATATACCCAGTGGCTGCCCAAATCATCACACCAGGTGAAGGGCCCCTGTGCCGATATCAAGTGCAGGCAATCTCCTTGGACACTCCAGGCACATATATGACCATCAGAATACTGCACGTAACCGGGACTCGTTTGAAAAGGGCACATTTTGTAACTCATGTACATAGCTTTGTCCTTGGGTGCACCAGAGACACCATCTCTCTCTATGCTGCATTATTGAGGGAAGCTGAAGTAATTGTCACTCGCTGCAAACATTGACGCATCTTACGAGCTGATACTCGGTGTGCTGCAAACATGCCCATTTCCTGATTAATGGTCCGTGATGTGGTCATATGGTTTTGCAGTGCTGACTTGCTGACTTCACAATATGTTTGTCCTCTCTGGTGTTAGTCATGGGAGAGCTTTGAGATACGGCCGTTCAGTATGACCCTCGCAATCCGTTGATTCCATATTTGCATGACAGTGGTTGGATGTCGACTAGTGCAACCGGCGATATCACAGAATGATAATCTACACTTTCGATAGACAACAATCCTGCCTCAATTTTAAAACTTGCTGGCATTTCCTCTTCTTATTCAAGGCACAACACGATGTTCTGAGCAAACTCCAACCTGATAAAGCACTTTCTGAATGAGAAATCCACTACACAACTTTTCTTTTATGCAGTACTTCAGATGTCAATTCTCCCTCCTGCATTATCTAAATGCAATGAAATACTAATCATTTGTATATTCCAACTTCTTCTTTTCATGCGATTTCGACATTCGTCAGATCATTCCTTCCTAATGTGGCAATTATTAACAAATTATTATTGATATTAACATTAAATTATTAGGTCCTTTTCCATTATGCACGACGCTTTTTAGCCCTTGTGAAAGAGAAGCCAAACACATGGCGAGAGCCAGCTATAGTTCCATGTGGGGCTCTGTGTATCTCTAAACAAGAATAATTAAACACACATACATATTATTACAGTAGAACTTCCATGATGCATGGCAGGTGCATAACGAACGTGCAGTTATTATCTCTCTTTGATGGTACATGTAAACATTGCTATATAATACAGTCAAAAGTCTTTAATCCGAACTCGTCGGGACTTCGGCGATTCCGGATTATCGGTTTTTCCGGATTATAGATCATCACTTTAAATCTGGTAAGATGGCATGCAGAAATTTTAAAATTAAAAATATGGAACTGTAATTTATGAAATAAAGAGCAATTATGATCTAAAGGTTATCAAAATATACCAAAAAAAAAACAACTTATATTTATTTGTTTATTAAACATTTCTTTCAACGCGCGCATGCGTAAAGCATACGTTACGCATAGTCGAAATTAGAGAAAATTGCAACCAGAAAACTATTTGATGTGTATTCGTGATATTTATAATGACGAGGAATTTGATTTAAATCATATCTAAGACGGAGTACATCGAGATGAAATACTACATTTAGTAAGAAATTATAAGCCGAATAAAATAAAAACATCTGCCCTGAAGATAAGGATAGTGCTGACAGATCAACTTCCAGTTCCTTGCGTGCCGCGATGTACCCCCCCCCCCCCCCGCAGAGCAGCGTAAAATTGATTAACATTATTTCGGAATGATTAGAGAATCAAAGGACATGCCTTTATCCATTTTTTGCAGCAATTACACTTTTTGCTTGATGGACATTGGAACATGCTTTCGCTTTGTAGATCCTTTGGTAGCTCCAGAATCGGAAATTCTTTTTGACATAAACGAAAGTTCAAGCTTACTTTTATAAAATTGCTCTAACAGTCTGCAAAAAATAATAAGCCGGATCCAATTCGAAGATTAAGGAACAACGCAATCTACAACATTAACTGAAATAGATAATTAGATAATTTTCGCTTAGCTTATACCTTCCATTATACGTTAAACGCGCATGCGTTGACGCATGCGCAGAAAGTTTGTAGCTTTGAGGTCCGGATTAAAGACTTTTGACTGTATAGGTAAAATGTTTAGGCATGCATCATATGTATTCAGAAGTCTTATGTGTTTTATTTTTTCTTATTGCAATATTGGGTGTCCCAACATGATTACTCTGATTTCAGTTCTTATATTTTATGTTAAATGTAGATATATAAGTAGATTCTATATATTGAACAGCAGTATACATAACCATAAAAAATTTAAGTCTTTACTTTCATCACAAAATAAAACGTATGACATAAAGAATACCAAGTTGATATTCTTTCTCCAGCCATATATTTTTCAGCATTTCTGGAAGGGTCGTTTACAACAAATTATATATTCTGTTCATGTAATGCTTGTAAAAAGTGAATTTCAGCATATATCCACTCAACACTTGAAGACGGCAGTTCACTATCAAATAAATGTCAAATATTATTGGAAATATTATAGAAGTAACATTGAAATCAAGATAACAATTTTTGGATATTTTTCCATGAACGACATGCCTTATGGCACTTTTTTACATATTTACGCAATGCTAGGTGTTGCAATTTCAGTTCTCTGGCAATAATGCTTTAATGCAACCAAATTTTTTATTTACTTTTTTCAGCTTGGAATTTTCCAAGAAGTGAAGAAGCAGCTTTCTTTTTTCTTTAAGAAAGGTATGTTCTTCACTAAAAAAAAAAGATTGCTTTCAAATGACTACCTCATGAAATTAAAGTTTAACTTGAATACAAAATGGCTATGAAGCCTTCAACCATAAGAGGAAGAAAAGTGCCCAGGTATAAAGGTGTGAGAGAAGAAATGTTCTAATATGATGCTGAAAATGTATGATATGGCTTTAATTGTAAAGTACCAGTTTTTCAGATATCCTATATGTCTAGTTTTATTTATCTCTTTATATCTGTTTACCAGGTCACTATATGCCAGTTTCATACACATTTCTAAGAGAGTTTTGAAGCAAAAAAGATTGAGAACCACTATGTTATATATATACAAAAATATTAATTAAAAGATGTAAATTTCTTATACATGAAGGGAGGAAGGATGAATTTGAATTTATAAAACGGATTGAAAAATTTCCATTTTCTGTTAAAAATACATGTTAACTATGTCATTTTATCAGACCTATTAATGTTTTCGAGTGAAGTTTTAAATTTAATGATTATGACATATTTTAAAATTAGTATTTGTTTTAGTTTTAAATAATTTGAATATAAATCAGAAATAATCTTTGTTATGGCTTGTAACTATACGACTAATCGTAGTTGTAATTTTCAGTAGTGTCTAAAGGTTATGTGAGTCAAATTCATGTGCTTTATATTTATGTTTTAAAAACTAACTGCTAACAAAAATCATTTAAATGTGTATCTTTGGCTACAAATAAATGACTTTTAATATTGGTTATTTTTCAGGGAGAAAGTGGCCAATCGTATTTGGTCTTGGAACAGGGTTTGGAATGGGTTTAGCAAATTGTCAGCATGCATTCCGTGATCCTCATTTAAGAAAGATGTTGAATTATAAGGTATATTGCATTTTGCATTGATATCAAATTTTTTGCTTATTTGCAGATTCATCTGCATACAAATATAAATTACTTATAATGAAATAATTTGGGATACTTAAATAGTACTAATTTAATAATAATTAAATACAGTATTTTGCATAACTAATTTTTTATGCTTCTAGTTTGTATAATTTTATAACTAGCTTATAGCTTTTTATACTTATATAATTTTTATTTATAATTAAATATAGTATTTTCCATAACTAAATTTTTTATACTTCTAGTACAGAAAGAAAAGTGTTAATGATTATAAGTAAAAGTTTCTATAGTTTCATGAATTTGCAACATGCAACATCACTGTATGCCCAAGCTCCTAACATTGGGGAGAAAACCCTATAACACAGTTGCCAGCTGTCCTGGTTTTTCAGCACATCTCCGAGCCTTTCAATAAATCATTGAATCTCCCAATTTTTAACTTTTTCACTAAAAAAATGCTTCCCTGTAATTAATGAAAATTATTGAATTAATCACAATGACCTTAGTGGAAGTTGCCAAACTCTAAGAATCATACTGGCAGCAGTTCTTTAGGTAACCATATCCATTGTAAATTGCAGTTTGAAAGTTCACTGAATCACCTTTTTCTTCTGTAAAAAATCACAAAACTGTGCCAAGGTGGTTGTATTAACACATAAGTACCCAAATAGCATTCTGCCACTTCTGGTGAATTTCAAATTAAAATTTCTTATTAAATTTTATTTCATCTGAATTGTATTATTTTTTCACATTACATCTTATGATCTTTTTCTTATTAAATGTTATTCATGTTAAATTTTTCATTTTAAAATTACATTTGATCTGAATTGTCTTGATCCACTGTAGATGTATATAGAATCTTATTTGAAGATTCAGGCAATGTTTAATCACTTAGTACAAGGCTTCATAAAAACTTTTTTCAGTCATGACCCCTTTTTATCACTGAGATTTTTTCGTGACCCCAGGACCCCATAATATTTACGAAAATTTTGTAGGACTCCATAAGCATTTCGCTAATCTGACACACACATGAGTGAAACTATCAATTTTTTCACTTGTACTGTGATCTATTATTGCAGTTTTAGGTCATAAACTTTAATTTTTAATTTTAAGACACAGAACAATGTGAAAATTTTAAATAAGTAACAGATGAAATGACAGTGTCACGTGCAAAGCAAGTAAAATGAACGTTTATATTATAAAAAGAATGTGTCAAAACATTTTTTTATCTTGGTCTGTATTGTCTTATCTTTATGTATTTTTAGATACATTGTGTAAAAATATTTGGTAATTGTAAAATTATTATAATAAGTTAAAGCAATATCAAAACTGCTAAAATTTTTGGTGACCCCCGTGCTGCAGGTCATGCGACCCAAAGTTTAAGAAATTCTGAGTTAGTATTTACACTTAATTTTGCTTTACTTCAATAAATATGAAATTATTAATTTTATCCACACAAGTACTATGTACATTAATTGGTACTCTTGTGTTATCAAGACTGGATTCAGTAATGTGTCTATGTATGGATGTATGTGTTCATGTATGCACCTTCTTCCTCTGCCACTACAAAACATTTTAAATACTTCCACTCAGTGGTACAAAATATAGAATGCTATGACTGTCGTCCAGCAATAGTCGTTTCATAGTTTTCCCAAATCCATAACCACTTCTAATATCAGGAAGAGGCAGTCTTAAAACTTTTCAATCAGCCTGTGTATAACATCTTCAGATTTTTATAATAGCTGTCATCTCAAAATTAGAAGAAAATTACACACCCCAGAAATTACCCATAACCCCTTCGAGCCGGGTAGCGAAAATGCACGCTTATCGCGGAGGCCGGCAGTGTCTTCCGCGAGCATCTCTCCAGGGCCGGGGGCTTTTTTGCTACTAAGCCTAAATCCATGAAATTTCCGAAGTATCGACGCATTGTTTAATAATGCTCTATAGAGTATTTAAACGGCTTATGCTTTATAGATATTTTTATATACATACTTTAATTACCTTATTTCTTGTTTAAATGTATATTTTACACATTTTATTTTAATTACTCATCATTTTATGACTTTTAACATTATACATCTGAAAACTAAATATATTACTTAAAATTCTCTTTTCATATGAAAAATTTTAAAACAGGGATCTACACACAGTCCTACGTTACATTCCTTGAACTCGTAATAACTCATTTGCCGTTTTGGAGGATTTTTCCGGGAATGTGAACAAACGAAGCATCGTTGTCTCATTTTCTTATCAGTCTCTTCTGAACAAAGTTTTGGAAAATGTTTTTCAGTTAATCTTTCAGAATCAATATAAGAAAATCAGAATTTCAGAATCAATATCTGAAATACTTTGCATCAATTCTGCTATTTCATGCTCTGTTAAACATTTTCGACGCTTCGTCATTGAAACGGTAAAAACAGAAAGAATTCACGTCTAACAAGATCTAATTATTTTCTAAAAACTGAACTGTAAACCGAAATACTCAACGCTTCAGCGCATATAAAACTTCTGCTTACAATAAACAACTACCACGTGCGAATAAAGTGCGATTTAAAGAGACGTCATAAATCACGCCATTCGGAAACATTTAGTTCCCCGTTTGTTTATATAATCAAAAACACGTGTATGTGAGTCATGCTTCTCTCATTTCGAGTAGAAGGTCTAATGTACATGTATCTGAAACCATATGGACATACAGTGCCATCTTGTGGCAGAAATTATAGTTTGAAAAACGTTCCAAGGTACTGGCACAAATACGTGACGGTCGGTAGTAAACGCAACAATGCTCTGGCACGCCTGCATGTCGGCCGGTAGATAAGTGTGTTCGTTGCTGGCACGTATACGTGACAGTTGGTGCGAAGGGGATAAAAGTCCTTCTAAAGATGCTGTAATGTTGAAGAACGTATAAAACAGTAACACCATTTTTATCAGATCATACTTCCTATACATTTATTTTTATTTGCACATCGTCATTCATGTAGAAGTAATATGTGAATTTTATTTTTAGGAACTATGAGTTAGTAGTTCTCAAAGGTCTTTATTGAGAAATGCAATGTTAATTTTTTATCAATTAAGCTATTCTTTTTTTATTAATGAACATAAAAACTGCAACAGAAAATTAACTAATGAAAAAGATGAAATAAATATCTCCTCACTGAGATTGTGTACGATGGGCTAGCTAAACCCGACGATCACAAGGTGCTTTTGATGCGATCGTAAGCAATTTGCATTTACATTATTAGCATATTATTTCATTTTTTGTCAGTACCTCAATATGTCATCCATAGGAAAGATGAACAAAAAAAAAAAAAAATGCTACTAAAGTTAATAAATTTTTTGGTAGAGCCTATGATATCCCCATTAGATTATATATTTTCTGGCAGTTTTTGTAATATGCTTTGGCTTAGTTTAATTATTAATTAAAACAGCTGACTTTCAAAAACCGTGGAAGCCAATCGATCCTTATGGAATTAATAAGTAATCTGCATTGATTGGATGCCTCTTATTCAAACTGGTTTTATAAATATCGTACGCTATTTTTAAAAATAAAATGGCTTTTTTAGTAAAGTAGCTTTTTTGAGCAGAAAGAGGTATGCTATTGAAATAGCTGTATGCTTGAACTTGAATGAAACTGTAACGCAGAACATTTTATCGATTCATAAAACAAATGCTGAAAGAGCATTTCACTTTCTAATGTGAATAAGAATCGTACTGGTTCGTATCTAATGTGAATAAATTTCCATCTGTTCCTGTTGCTTACACGCATGAGTAAATAGGAAGTAGATTAATCATAAATTTGGGCATTACTTCAAAATGTACACTGCATAAAAAAGAAAAATGGTACTGTTCTATACCTCCTGTTCTACTGGGCCAATTGGCAAAATTCAACTTGTGTTTGTCATGTCTCGAAAGCATGACTTAAGATATGTATTAAATTTATATATATCATTGTTCTAATATAGGTATTTTGACACAAAATCGGGCTTTTCTGATAGGACATGCCAATTTTTTTCATATTTCGATTTTACGACTCAAATTATGCAATTTGCAACATTCGCACAAGTAGTTTTTTTAAAAAATTAGCCCTCAAGCTTTTAGCTACTCAATGTTAATTGAATTTGATATGTACTTATTAAATATCTCTTTTCTTATTAAATTTATTTGATTCTTCTTCCTTTGCATATTTCGAAAATTTAGGTTAAATTCAAAATATAAATTTGTTTACATTTTAATGATTTAATTTTTAAATTTGTATTTTTAAATAATTTTTATAAGATTTTTTTTGAAAAAATTATTTGAATTATAACCTACAAAATGTTATGCCATTATCTTAAAAGAGATGTATTTGCATACCTGCCAAAAAAATTCTAAGCGTTACTTGGATTTAAATTGGAGTTTCCCTTTATATACATGAATTCATAAGATATGCGGGAACTTTTACATTTATGGCACTGGAGGATTTTGAAATTTGGTTGTATTCATGTATACAACGATGGTAATTATGAAAATAAGGTTTATAGCTCTTTGTTAGAATTATTTGAAAGTATGAACAATGACTTTTTTCCCACTCATGGACAAAGACAAAAATTAAAGGAAAATAGGTTGCTATAAATTAAGAAGTTTGCCTAGTGAATTACTCTTGGCTCAAACTGAAAAAAATTCACCAAGATAAATTTTTCAATTTCTCCATAAATTTCTCACCAAAAATTACAAAATTTAATATCTAGGCATAATTTGAGTTGTAGAATCAAAACATGGAAAAAAATTGATATGTTATTTCATAAAAAGTCCGATTTTGTATCAAAATACCTATGTTAGAGCAATGCTATATATAAATTGACTTATATATATATTTCCTAAGTCGGGCTTTAGAGACATGGAAAACGCAATTTGAATTTTGTGAATTGGTCCAATAGAACAGGAAATATAGAAGTGTCCCTTTTTTTTTTTTTTTTTTTTTTGTAGCAGTATATATATGTGTGTGT